AGTCTAAACGTTTCTAAGCATAAGTGGAAAATTCTGTAACTGACCTCACACAACCACTGCAATCAAAACACAGGTACACTAAAAATGTTATATAAAATTATCTTCAGGTTATATAAAATTATCTTCAGGTGTATAAGGTATACAAGAAACAAATGAATTTTATGTTTAGGCATGGATTCCACCCACAAGGTACCTCATTATATATATGTAAATAGTCTCCCAAATTTGGAAAAAAAAAATCCAAACTGAAACATTTCTGGTTCTAAGTATTTGAGATAAAAGCCACTCAACCTGTATTATTGCTCACGGCAGCTTTCACACTACAGTGGCAAAGTACAGTATTAGAAACAGTGTAGCCCACATAACCAAAAATATTTGCTAACCAACCCTGTAAAGAAAACATTCATTGGCCCCTATATTTTCAGTGACTGATGACGTAAGAAATGCTGTCAAGCTTTTGAAACTATTTAACAGCTTTACTAAAAACTTCTCTCATCGTTTCCTTCTTTTGTTCAATTAGCCTTCTATAAACTTTCTGCTCTTCCACTTAATACACAGTCAGTGTACCAAGATACAAAGGCTAATTACATAAAAGGGAAGTTCTCAACCATTGTAGGGCTGCTCTCAGAAATATGCTCAAATTTCAACTGAAGTCACTTAAGATCTAGATACTAGCACTCCTGAGAGATAAGTATCCTTAATGACCAAACTAGCATTTTACTACAAAGTAAAAGTTTTTCAAATGAGAGAAACTGATTTTATGTGAAAAAAAAAAAAGCTGTAATTTTTCTTTTTTAAAATTTTCTTTGAGAGGCAGAGAGGCAGAGATCTCCCATTCATTGTTTCACTCGCCAAATGCCCAGGAAGCAATCAAGCTCTCTTACATTGTGGCAGGAATGAAGTACTTCAGCTATCACTACTGCCCCTTAGGGTCTGCCTTGGCAGGAAGCTGAAGTCAGGAACCTAAACCAAAAATCAAACCCAGGTACTCCAATTGTGGGATGTGGGCTTATTAACTGCTGAGGTAAATGCCCACTTCCCTACTTGCAGAGGTTTCTTTTAAAATGTTTATGATCTTGTTTTTTATTTTTTATTTTTTTAAAGGAAGATGTTGTTAAACAAGCACTTCTTTAAACTGAGGAGACTCTGAATAGATGTTTCTAATAAATTAGCTGAACTATATGCCATGTACTGTTCTAACTCTGGTGACTATAACTGAAGAAATCCCTGCCCTGAAAATTAAACCAGTCTAGTAAAGAGTAACATAGTTATAAACATATTTGATGTCATATGGTGATAAATGATATGAGGAAAAATAAAGCCGCGTAAGCATAGCATCACCACTTTGAGTGCTCAAGGTAGAACTCTGAGGGGGGATGTCTGAGCAAAGACCTAAAGAAAGTAAGAAATGAAGCTATGAAATGAAGCTCTCTAAGACCCTGTGGCAAGAGTTATCTTTCAATAGCTTTGTTCTACCTTTGGAAAACTCTTAAGGCAGGTTTTCCTTAACATTTAAGTCTTAAATCTTTTTACTTAACCCTAGTTTAAGGTTTTAAACTAGAAAATTATTTGTTGTAGGGAGGCTGTTCTGTGCACCTTAAGATATCTTAGTACCAATCCTGGCCCCCAAGTATTTACACTCATTAGGTCCCCAGTTGTAATCACCCTGGGCTGAGTACAACTTCCCTAGTTCTACCTGGTAGGATCAGATAAAAGCAGCAACAATGTTAAATCTGAGCATTTACTATATGCCAGACACAATAATATTGAGTACTTTAATTCTCAAAACCATCCCCATTTCACAGCTGAGAATACGGAAGTTTAGAAGCTGAACAACTTGTCTGAAATCATATAGTTAATTCGTAGTGTGTCTAAGACAGGGTTTAACTTCACAGTTCACATTCCTAACCTCAAACAAGTCTGGATCAAACCAAATCTAATTCCTTTGCCAAAGGATGATTCCTCAAATAGGTAATGATATCTCTCATTGCAAGATTCCTTAATATCCATCCAGTGCCACATCAAGATCTTTCTTAAGTTCTTAGTTCCGTAAGCTGACAAGGCATCCAACTTCTTCGCATCCTTCCCCCTGACTATACACACAACCAATAAACAGCACTTCAGTGTGTAGCAGAGCAGTTCTATCTTCTTTTCCATTAACTGAAATGCAAATGGTTTTGGGGGAGGGGCTGCTCTGAGAAAGATGATGACAGCCTAATTGTACTACTGTTTTAAGTCACATTACTGATAAAAACCACCTTTAGGTCTTTTTCAAATGTGATATCGTAAAGTCATGCAACTTTAAGGTAAATTGCTGTTTTTCAGGCCTTACAAAGACTCTGAAAAAGTTCATCTGAATTATTCCAACAATCTAGACTTAAGACATGATTTTGGATCATTCAGTATACATATTTACTATCCTTTCATTAGCCTCACAGAAAAAATTGGCAATTTATTTTTTCCAGATGAGCAAGAAGACAAAGAATAAAGCCACCTCCCAAGATCAATCTGCCTTTGAATAGGGTCATTCAAAATCAAAACTATATTAATCAACATAATCACCTCTTAGCTTACTAGTTCCCTCACCTTAATGTTCAAGTATATCAAAAAGGGCCTTACCAAAAGCCAATCTCAAGTCAGTCTATTAACTGAATCAGTGAAAAGTCAAAATTCGTCTGACAAAATAGTTTTAACAAATCCATTCAAGATCATTTTTCATCCTTTTTGTTCAAGTTAGTCATAAATAATTATTTTTATTCATATCCTAAAATCTTATACCTCTTTTGAAATCAGGACTAGAATCTCCCATTTTTAACAGCTATTCTTTTCTCATAAAATCTTCAAAGAAAACGATTATTACCAGTAATTTTAAGATGTTGCAAGCAATTCTTTTTATAACTATGTTTCAAATGACCCCCATGACAATTCATTTAATGAAATACATTCTTTACCTCCATACCTAAACTGATTTTTATGTCCTTCTTAGCAATGTTTGAGTTGTTATTTTTATTGTTGTTGGTGGTGGTTTGTTCTTCCACTTTGATAAACAAGTTTCAAAATAAGAACTAAAATTCTTTTTCTACTACCCTCATTGTCATACATCATTACTATACTTTTCTTGGTTACCTTGGTTGGGTTGTCTTAGCTTTTTTTTAAAGATTCAACTTGTGTGAGCATTAGTTTTCCTAGTGTTTTTAAAAAGATTTATTTTTATACCTTATTATGGCAATCCTATTGACTTTTATTTTAAAAGTAGTAAGCATACTTTTAAAGAGTTCATTTTGTAATCACACTATCATGTGAGTACATGTTTCCTTACCTCCTTTAGATAGGCTTCCTTTCTGGAGAAATTAATGCTATCAAATCATGCTGACCTTTTTCTCTGATCAAGTATCAGAAAAACTCAGGTTGGTGAAATAAATTACAATAAATATATATATACCCACAAAATATAATACTTAACATTATGCTATAGGAGACTATTAAATGACGGAGGATGTTCATAATTTTTTAAAAGAAAATAGATTATATAACAATACATACAGTAATATCTGGAAATTTTTAAGTGCACATGTCTGATTTTATTTGTATGTACCCATAGGAAAAAAATGCTACTGCCAAAATATTTAAAGTATTCTTCCTTCAATAGGGTATTTTTTCTATATGCCGTCCTATATTTAATATTTATGCAATGAATATGCATTTTTACAAGAAAACAAGCATTATTATATTAAAATAGCAGAACCAGAGGAAAGTATTCTACAAAGTATGAGATAAAAATGTCTACCTAGAGTTTCTGCTTTTACTACTATTACTATCAGAAGCTTAGAAAAACATTTCTAGACCCCAAACCACAAAAAAGTCAATATAAGATACCACTAATCTAGCTATATAAATAAGTCATGACACTGATCAGGAGAGCCATTCAAACTATTAGAAATTAAATGGGGCAAATCACAGGAGTTTTTTTATATTGCATGGGAACAATGTTATGAACTACTTAAACATATAAAAATAAAACTATCTAAAGATGTGTATATACCAAAAGTCCCTACAAAATGAAGGATGGGTAAGGTAGGGGGTAGCAGAGAAGGAGAAAAAATCAGTTAAAATGTTTGGAATTATGCTACAATTTCCTAATAAAGTAAGCAATATCACTTGTTAAGAGTTAACATCTCACAGAAAGAATAATTATCTTTATATAGAAAATTTATCTAGCTGAAAATCAGTTGCACTAATTCAAAAAGTTATCTTTTCTCTGTTTTATTAGCAGTATCTAAATCTATTTGAAATCTGTGTCCTGTAAACCTAGAATGAAAAACCATTTTAATCAATTAGAACTCTATCATTCAAATACATTTAGTTCTGTAAAATACTACTATCTCTAAGTGGTTGAACCAATCCTTAATTCATTCAAAGGTAAAAATATATTCAACTCCTTCTTTAGGAAATTATTTTGATTATTTCATTTCTCTACCTTAAATTTTATTTTCAAGCATATCAAAAATATTATTTCACAATTAGTCTTTCCTTAAATTTTTATATATTCACTAAAACAATCCTAAACATACCTCCTCAAATTACATGAAATAAAAAATAAAGCATTAAACCCATGAAAACATACTCCATTTATTTAATTAACTCACCATTAAACTGACAATTATGATCTTTTATATCTAAAAATGTAAATGACTATAATGAAACAAGAGCCAAACACAGCTTTCAATCTATTTCTATATGTACATAATTATAACCCAGAGATATCATGTAATAAATGAATACACACCTTCCTTTAGTACATGCCAAGGTAGACACACAAAAACAAGAAAAAAAATTTGCAATCAGAGTATAAAGGGACTCTGCTCTTTCAAATAATGCAGCACTGAAAGCCAGGTCAGGATCCTTGGGCATTACTAGGAAACTTTAAAATATCTGATATTTCCATTATCTTCAAGATTCCTCTGAACAAACAGAAAATTTCCCAGGCTCCCCTACCTCACCTGTCCAGACTTCTTTTAGCTTTCCTCCCTCTACTGTGTAATAATGCTGTTGCGGTTACTTAGGCTTTAAATGTTCAGAGACACAACCCCCTCTATATATTAATTCAGTTCATTTTCTCACAGACACTGACTCAGCCCTGGGTTGTGCAGCACTGACGTTTCTAACCAAACAGGATCCTGTGAGCTGGGATCAACCCCTTTCTTCATCTCTGAGCAGTGATTGGGTATTGTAATTGATGGACAGGTTGAAGAAAAGGCAGGGGATGAGGGCTTAGAGATATGTAGATATGTTGCCAATGCCATCTGTAAAGCTAATTCTAGCTCTGCCAGCTTGCCAGGTTTTGGAGAACTAGGATGCAGATAACTTTCTTTTCTCCTTTCAATATCTGTGTATCCATTCCGTGCAATAAAGCTTCTCTTTAAAACAAAACTATTATTTGTAATTTAAGAATTCACTCAAGAACTATTCTCTCAAGCAATCAAACTTTTCCATTTCTAAACTGCTGTGACTATTTAATGACTTAAAAGGGAAACTGGAAAGCTCACACTTCATGCAGTCTCAGAAGAAATGAGCATGCGTACTTCCACGTGGCAATGAAACCTTGCGGCAAAGTCTGATATTGAATGTATGATGTGTTTATCTTTAGTAACTTGAGCAGACTGCATATCTGAGTTTTATACAGTTGTATTCTACCCAATTCAAATATCAAAGAGCTTTTAAAATACTGTCTACCTAGACTCTTCAATGTTGTACAGAAAAGGCACTCTTTTTTAAACAGTAAAATCTTTTCTAATTCATAATTTAAAGAAAAGTTGTCACATTTTAGGCCAAGTATACTTCAACTGAAATGATCTGTAACATCACAGCAAGACACCAAATCCTTCATTATAGTATTAACTATAACTACTCACACTAAGGTCACTAATTTTAAACTATTTTTGTATATGCCTGCAGAGAGATCATGGGCACCCTGAAGTCCACCATCCCAGACCAGTTTCTGTCCATTTTTATATCACAGAATATTATACTTAGAAGCCTACATTAAATAGAAAAAAACCTTAAAACCATACCTTAAAATTGTATTAATACAATAGAAATCATAAGGCAATGTCCAAACCTTCAATTGTCAATAGTAAGCACAAAAGACAGTTAACTATTATTGTTACTTTCACAATTCAAAAGCTTATTTTTGTCACAGCCACCAAAAAATAGGGGAAAAAATCAAAACTAAAGCCTGAAAAAATACCAGGCTATTCCAAAATACAACAAGACAAAACACAACTTGAAACAAGACTTCCATATTATTTGTGAAAACTGAATCAATAAAGAAAAGTATATTTGTTTATATATTGTAAACTTAAATCTCCAATTTCTTTTGAGGTGGCTATTTGCCCAGTTTAAAAACTACATTTCTGGGCTGGCATTACAGCATTGCAGGTTAAGTTGTCCCCCACAATGCCAACATCCCATGTAAGTGCCAGTTTGAGTTCTGGCTGTTCCATTTCTCATTCAGCTCCCTGCTAATGCACCCGAGAAGGCTGCAGAATATGGTCCTAGTATGTGAGGACTGGATGGAGTTTCAGGCTCCTGGCTTCGACCTGGCCCAGCCCTGAACTTTGCGGCCATTTGGGGAGTGAACCAGCAGAGGGAAAATCTTGGGTCTGTCTCCCTTTGTCACTCTGCCTTTCAAATAAATAAATAAAGCTTAAAAACAAAAAACTCCTACATTTCTTAGTCTTCCTGACCTAGGGATGGCCATATGACATGGTTCTAGCTAATGATTTATTAGCAGATACCTGCTGGGAATTACTGAAAAATTTAATTTCCTTTTATAAATGAAAACCTTTCTCATCGTCTCTTTCTCCTTTTTCCTTCCTTCTTGTCTAAAGGGTCAACATGATGGCTGGAACTATAGTATCCACCTTGTGATTATGAGGGAAAAGTCAAGAAAATAATTTTTCACCCCAACATACTTAAGCCACTAAAGACTCATCAGTCACTGCCCACCTCTGAACTTCTCACATACAAGAAAAGTAAATTCCTAACTTAAACCAGTGTTTACTCTGGATTACTTTTACTCAAGCATCCTGAAATAAAATACAGAATATTCACAAAGTAGGTAAGGCACACATGAAACAAAATTCAGCTGCAAGTAACAGGGATTCACTATACCTATTTTTTTCAAATTATTTAGAATTTGAAAGGAAGAGAGAAATTTGTTTATAAATCTCAGCTCTGCCATTTACAATATGGATGGCCTTGGGTAAGTATATTAACCTTCATTTTTTTCATCTGACACATGGGGACAGTAATACTATCCAGAGCTCTATCTCCAGATTCAGCCAAAGTAATCTACTAAAGGTCCCTGTCAGTAGTGTCCTTCACCTATCCAAATACTCTCATCATCCAAAGATAAGCTCAAATCTCATTTTTACCTACTCAAGATGATAATGATTTCTTCACTCACTCTTATCTTACAACCCAATACCATACTTCAAGTGCTCTGTAGTCCTTTAACTGTTTCATACATATATGGATAATAAAGTATTCCACATGTACTTTTGACTCTCTCATAAACTGAGGTTCTCAATAGTACTTGCTGATTGTTATTTTTAAAATCTCTCAAGCAATTAATTTACTATCAACCTCAAAACATACTATCTTTAAAAAGTCAAAATGTATTCTTTAAAATATCCTAACTTGTACGTTTCTAAGTACATACAGAAAAGAGGTTTCTAAAAGTAAGCTGTTCTTCCTTGGGCAGAGTTTCCATGAATGAAGATTAAATAAACTCATTCAAAGTACTTCTTGGTCTTTATTTAAAAAAAAAATCAATTTATTGATATTTGTTTTCTATTTCACTTTAGGGTTTTTCATTCAAAGAATCCTAAATACTAACACAAGAGACTTAAAAACAAGTCAATAACATTATAGTTATCAAGAACAGCTATGATACTTGTTACTGAAATGAAACAGCAATGAAAAGAATACTGTTGTTTTTATAATATTTTTCCACTGTAAGCACGTAGCTTTCTACAAAGCAAACAATGACTTATTTTCACCCTAGTCACTTCCTCAATACCTAATGCAGTAGTGTACCTCATCAGAACACTATAAAAAACTAGGAAAGATAACATATTTCATCTGGAAAAATATATACAGTAGATATAAATACAATCTCATATAATATGATAAAACCAATAACTCTTTCATCTCAAAAGATAAGAAAATTATCCATGAAATAGAGAAGAACTACAGCCCCACTTGCAGGACACTGAAACACACACACACACACCTTAATATTAACATTATATATCATCACATTAAAGGTCTATTAAAAAGTTGAATGTCTTGTCAGGAAACTTAAAAATTACTCCAGTCATTCAAATTTTCTACCTATACTAGGAAAGTACATGAACTATTTCTTTAATATTACAAAAAGGATTTCAATATCATGGCATTTTTTTAAGGAAAGTAGTATTTCTTATCAATGATCAGGAGAATTTATATGCAAGTAAGTTATATGTTCAATAATATCCCCTAAGTAATATTCATAAAGCAAAATTCTATATGAAAACATGCTTACATACCTGTAATGTGAGGTTAATGGGCTGTCAATTAACATCTTAGAATATCAGATCACAAAGTGCTGTTCTAAATAAGGTTATTACTCATTAAGTCACCCAGCACAAAATGAAAGCTTAAAAAATCACAGACGTACTGAAACTTCATTGCATGCATCACACTTTAAATGAACCAGTAGTCATTTCAGATACATTAATTTTCCCATGAGGATCAAGATGAGAACACAAAATCACGTAGTTAAAAACGTATGGTGGCAAATACTGACAAAAACCCACAATTTATCATATATAATCTACATACACAACGTATATACAGCATGAAAAGACTTCCTTTTAGAAGAGTTTTAAAGAACTAACCTGTCTTTGCTATAGTTTCCAATAAATCAATTATAGAACTTATTTAGAAGTAGAAACAAATATTCAAATAAATTAATTTAAAAAAAGAAATGTTTCTCTAAAAGTTGTTTAAGGATAAATACAAACATTCATAATATTTTGTAAATCAGTCCCTGTCCTCTCACAGGATTTGCCATAATCAAATGCAGTTTTAGCAGAGCTTTGATATGTGAAATACATATTTTCTACCTACCTTGAATGTTTATAAAGTTTACGAGGTCTACTATGCAATTTCCGATCCCAATTCTCTGGATCACTGGAGTTACTGTCATAGGGATGAGGCCGTCCTGCCATCCCACTTCAAGTTTCCTCAAACTACTGCTCTGAAAGCACACTTGTAGCACCCATAACCTACATAAAAGAGTAGTGTTGACCTTTAAATCTATTCCATGCAGAATAAAAGTCATAGAATGTAATACACTTGATTTATTGTGACATATTTTGAAGTGATAAAAAGATTTTAAAATATTAAATGCATAAAATGCCACAAATCAGATGAAAATAAATGCTAGAAACCTTTTCTAGGTACTTTCCATTTGATTTACTATTAAATTTGCTACCTTGGGTAATACTTTAATACTGTGATATTTGTATTTTAGTAAATATATTTAACTGTCACCTAGGTACCTATTTCCAAACATAAAGGTAGGCCTAAAAAGGTTAAAAAAAATTCCATAGTATGATTCTTTTAGATAAAATTTTACAAAGAACACATTTCTTAATTACTAAAAGTCAAGATACTTAATAAAGCATCTACTAAGACCAAATAACAATGGTATTATTTATTTAACCCAGTTAAAGACAACAGCAATTTAATATTGATCAAATATAAATGTATATAAACATCCTGATGTTTGTTTATGATGCAACTACCATGAAAATGTTGTCAGTGTGATTCATACACTAAATGTATTCTTGTGTGAGGCTTATGACTATTTCTACTATAGTCTTATGAAATTATTTTTAAAAACCTCACTTGAACAATAGTTTCACAGGATACCTAAACTTAGCACTTTCAAAGTATACTCACTACCTAATTTAATCTTCACAATCACCTTGGAAGATAAGCATTGTAATCCCCATATATAGAGCATAAAGCAGCCTCACAATTTTAGTAACTTTGTCAAAGGTCACAATGCTGGTAAATGGTAGAATTATAAAGAGCAGCTGGTAAATGGTAGAATTATAAAGAGCAATGAGAATTTTCTATACATGGGCCAGTGTTGTGGAATGGCGGGTTAAGTGGTTGCCTGTGAAGTGAGCATCCCATCCAAGTGCCAGTTCCAATCCTGGCTGCTCCACTACTGATCCAGCTCTCTGCTGATGTACCTGGTGGGGTAAAGGGCCTACCTGTCTGGTAGTGTTTTACCCCCTGTCACTGGCAACTGTTTGGGGCCATTTGGAGAGTGAACCAGCAGATGGAAAATCTCTCCTTCTGTCTCTGTAACTCTGCCTTTTAAATGAACAAATCTTTTTTTTTTAAAAGGAGTATTCACTGTATAAAAGTCTTCATCTTGAAAAATGCTCAGGTTACAGTATTTGAAAACAGATCAGATCTTTTAAAGACTGTAAACATCAAAAGAGAAACCAAGTAAAGCCAAACAATTTGAAGTTATATAAATTGAAACATAACCCAGGTTTCCTCCGACCCACTCCTCTTTACTTTTCTATGCTTTTTGGAGCCATATTTAGTGGAAGGAAGTGAGAGGCAGTAGAACACAAAAGTCAAAGGGAAATCCTAGAGTTGGGAAATATGATACCTTCCTCAGTTTTATATGGTATTCCAGTACAATCTCACAAAGAATGACAAAGATAAACTCATTAAAATTTTGAATCTGTATCCAAATCAGTAGAAGCAGCACTTCCATTTTAGAGAAATAGTTTTGCTGTTTTACAAATTCTTCTCAGTACCTTCTTTTCAAACACAACTGAAAATCTTGGGGCCTGTACTCTGGAGAAGCAGATTCAGCCACTGCCTGCAGTGTCAACATCCCATAAGGGCACCAATTCATGTCCTGGTTGCTCCATTCCAATCCAGTTCCCTGCTAATGTGTCTGGGAAAGCAGCTGAAGATGGTTTAAGTCCTTGGGCACCTGCCACCCACATTGGAGATCTGGAGAAGCACCAGGCTCCACCCTGGCCAAGCCCTGGCTGTTGCAAGCAT